GCCCCGGAATCTTATTGTAAAAACGTATACAGTTCCCTATAAAAGAGAAATTTACCTTGGTTAAATGAAATCGTGGTACCATGAGTTTGGACTTAGCCCTAAGGTTAATATTATGGTTAATTTTCTTTCTTATTGAAATTATATATATTTTTACGACCATATAACATATTTGAGTAAATATACTGTGATGCCACAGTCATGATACCAGTCTCCTTAAACTTTTCTCTGAGAGGAATCCGAGAACCTAAACGTTACACAGAACGAATCGCTCGTTTTTGCAATACACATATGGCTTGAATATCTGCCGCTTTACCCCACATGAGAATCCCGTAGGACATTATACTATGGAAGTAACTAAAGTAAACTAGTCTAGCAGTAACAACATCGGTACGTTCACGTATTCTACGGACTGCGTATGCAGCAGAGCTTAATCTGCTGGCCAAGGAAGATATATGTGGGAACCATTGGAGTTTACTGTCTACGGTCACTCCCAAAAAGATAGCTTTATTAACATGAGTACGGAAGTAAGGAAGGTATAAGGATCTTGTATATGTGCGCACAGACCTCCTCAGCAGTAAAGCGTATGTACAACTACTCACAGCCAAATGCAGAGTGGCTCCTCTTAAAAGCTTAACTATCCCACACCTGGAGTTCTGTGCAGCACTCACAGCCGTTAAACTCTACAAAATAGTCATTGACTCATTGCGCCATCCCCTTACTATTTCAACTTGCCATTTTTGGAGTGACTCTATGATCAATCTATCATGGATTAAGACTTCACCTCACAAATTAAATACATTTGTAAGTCACATAGTCAATGCAACAGCAGCCTATTATACTTATGCTCATGCTTGGTTGAGTTATGGTATAACCTTGTGGAGGAATAACACTGATGCCTTGAAATTATTCAATTTGCAGAAGAGATGCATTGAAATACTAGTAAATATCGACCCAATAGATAGAACAAATTAAAAAAATCTTTCTTCACCATCTTTATACATTTTAGAAATATGTAAATTTGTCAAAAAATATCAACAATATTTCACTCAAGCGAAGGACACCCGCGACACAGGGTTTCCCTAGTGCGGGGCTCTGTTGAATGTGTGAGTTATTATTATTATTATTACGTTTATTTGAAAAAGAGTAGCCCCTTGAGTTTCTTGCTCGACATATATGCAAACAGTTTGAAAGGGTTGTAACCCTAACTAGCCGTGAACAGGTTCACGGCAATGAAATGGGCAACTTCCAGTCCACAAAATTTATTAAAGAAGCAAAGTTTACAGAAAGGCCCTAAATGGGCCGAGAAACTGAATTACAGAAATAGAAACAGAAATAGATACATGAAGGCTGTAAACTTATAAATTGTTACACATGATTAGCTTATTAATAGCTCCGACTGTTGTGGCGGTCGAGCTGGGAGTGACCGTGGTACGAAAATAAAATGAGAAAGTGAAGGAAGATGGAATAATTCAAATTTAAAATTTAAATACATGTAAAATAAAAAAAATGATAGGATACAAGCAGAGAGAAGCGGATACAAAGAGGTGATATGACGGTGAAAGGAGGTCACACCGTCACAAGATATAATTGTTTGTTCGTTATTTCCATAACCTTCTATCATTTTTAAGTATTGTTACCCTTACGCGGTGTCTTAAAAACTATTACAAAAATAATCTTTCAGTCTATCTTCCGACATAGGGATACATTGTTGTCATCGATCTCTCTTGTAATAGCGCCAAAAATATACAACAATTTACTGAAAACACTAAGGTCTGAGAGGAGCATGCTATTTAAAAACCAATTAACCAAATTATTGACTTATAAAATGTACTGTACAGTGTCCGAATTTTCAAATGATAAATCCCTAAATTCATTAACTAATTTTTGACATTGGTCATTATTGACGTTATTCTTAAAACAATATTATTATGACATCTAATTACAATTAAAATTGACCCATGTAACTATCATCACGCTTAAATTCTGACCGACTTATTAAGTCCGTGTATGCACGCTCATGTAATAGTATCGAAAAACGAAACACGTGGTTTAGTCTGTCGAAGTGCATGTGGGTGAATGTATAATACACCTTAAATATTTGTATGCCTACTGTTAGGGCAGACACAGTGAAACTATACTTACTTTGTACATGTCAACTTATATCCTATGTTTTCACAAATAAATTTATTATTATTACTATTTTCATTTTTCTCTGAACATTAATGTATTTAGTATTATATATATTACATAGTGTTTTTTTTTAATGGGACAGTATGGGGAAATCCAGAAACATAGAGGATACAAAGACACCGTCATAGGAACCATATAACCTTATTATACGGTACGATTATACAACCAATCATCAACCCGACAAATGAAAAGTGGCGACCATTTTGGATCTCAATGTTTGTATTAAGATTCAACTTTATATTAAGTACTAGTCGTAAGAAATGAGACCAAATATTATTTTCTTTATTTCTTTCTTTCGAACAAAGCTTTTACAGTCTCACTAGATTTTCAGCATCATGATACTCGACTTTATTTATTTAATTATAAGCAAGCATTATTTGATCTTCAAAATCTATAACAATAGTTCGTTACCAAATAAGCAAATGTAGCTTATAGTAATTTTTTGTTTATAAATTTATATATCATAGAACAAAAATAGCTATTTGCGCAAATTCATATTGTTGTCCTTATTCTTCAAAATGTATAACAATAGTTCATTACCAAAATGTAGCTTATAGTAAATTTTTGTTTTATAAATTTATGTATTATAGGACAAAGATAGCTATTCACGCAATCTCATATCGTTGTCCTTGTTCTTCAAAATGTATAAGAATAGTTCATTACCAAATAAGCAAATGTAACTTATAGTAATTTTTTGTTTTATAAATTTATATATTATAGGACAAAGATAGCTATTTACGCAATTTTATACCGTTGTCCTTGTTCTTCAAAATGTATAACAATAGTTAGTTACCAAATAAGCAAACCTAGATTTATCAACTGAATTATATATTGTCACGGGGAGATTTATCGCACATATTCTGCCATGTCACGGCCACTGGTTAAATTAAAAGATTAAAATGTACAAAACATTTCGGAATTATATGTACCTATTAATTATTTATAGTTCAACTTATTCAACCACCATTCTTTTACAAATCAATAAGAACAAACCATAAGAGTAAACAATAAATAAGATTGTATTGTTTAAAATGTTTATTTAAGCTCAGAAGAATCAATGCAAATAATATTTTTATAACGTTACAACAAAGATAATTTGTTTATTGTTCGTTGTTGTTGTAAGTTGTTTTAAACAACTTATTGAATTTGGTAAGTATGTCTCAGCTCGTCATCAACTTGATCCCAGGGCAGGAAGATCTGCAAGCCTTCCCAATGGGCCGTAGCTTGCACGTGTGTCCTTACACAGTTGGCGTTGCAAATGAAATCGCAAGTCTTGGTCTCAGCGTTGAAATGTAGACCTTCGGAACAAGTAATTAGGACCGGTCTGCCGCTTACGCATCTCCAGAACTTATCGCAATCGGTTTCGTGAGCCCATGAATCGCAGCCGTCGCAAGTGTCAGGAGGAGGATCAGTTGGACATGTGGGGCATATGGGCGGTGGTGGACACGTTGTTGGTGGTGGTGGTGGTTCAGGTGTGGTTGGTGGTGGTGGAGGTGCGGTTGTTGGTTCAGGTGTGGTTGGTGGCGGTGGAGGTGCAGTTGTTGGTGCAGGTGTGCTTTCAGTCGGTCTGTTTTCGCAGTTCACGTTTTCGGGGTAATCGCAAACCTAGAAATATAATAGAAGTTAGTAAAATTTTATCATGACGTTTATAACAACCACTACAATCAGATGCCACGCTAACCAGGTGCCACCGATAGTCAAAACGTAAATATGGTATGTAAACAAAAAATTACTTACTGGTCCAGGGTAGACGTCAGGGTTAAAATGTAAGCCAGGGGGACATTGCCTTTCTACCTTCTCTCCGTGTACGCAATAGTAAAACCTATTGCAGTCATATTCATGTGGCAACAATCTATGGACATCAAAATCAGCCGGGCATCCGTTATCTAGGTCTTCCGTTGGGGCAGTTGGGGTGGGGGTCGTTGTGCCCTCCGTTGGTGCTGGTGAGCTTTCAGTTGGCGGCGGGGCAGTCGGTCTTCCACCGCAGTCCACTTTGTCAGGCCAATCGCAAACCTTTAAACAAAATACAAGTTGGTAAAGTTTTACACTGACAGTTGTGACAACCATTCCAATCAGATGCCACGTTAATCAGGTACCACCGATTGGCTACCTGATTGTTAGTCTATTAATATAAACTTATTTTGATGATTAGAGACACTAAAACTAAACTCCAATGCCCTTATTACCTTATCTGAAGGCTAGAAATCGAATAGGGTCTGAATTTGAATAAAGGATAACCTCAGTGTACTAGCTGTTTTGTTCCGCGCGCTATGTGTGTACTTTCGGGTTCGATTTTTTTTTATAGAAATTTAAGAAATGAATTTTTCAAGTATATTTTGCCATAGATCTTCCGTATAGAGCCACCAAAGTTATTTTCATGACTCGTATTTCATAATTCCCATAATTTATCGAGAAATTCGGAATTTGTATGTACACACTAATACGAGCAATTTTGACAAGTGGCATCTCCCTCACAGTGTTTCCCGAAGAAAGTTAATGCTTTCTTCGTGTAAAAGTAATTTATTAAATATCACAATAATATAACACCATACCAAGTTATCAAACCTTAACCGTAATAGGGTAATTTTCATGTTAGTTTTTTCTGCTTAGTTTCGGTGGCAATTTTTATTACTTGAAATAGTATTTATTAATATCCTGAAATATTATTTAATATTTCACGATTACAAACTCGAGTACTTAAATAATAAAACATGCCACCGAAATTAGATAATGAAAAGTAACCTGAAAATGACTCAATATGTAAAAAAGTTACTCACGGGTCCAGGGTCGGCATCAGGGTTGAAATAAGTACCAGGGGCACATTCTCTTTCTACCTTCTCACCGAATACGCAATAATAGAACTTATTGCAATAAGTTTCATGCGGCAACAATTGATGCACACTAAAATTAGCTGGGCATCCATTAGGTAGTATTTCTGGTGTAGTTGATGTGCTTTCCGTTGTTGTGCTTCCCGTTGAAGTGCTCTCCGTTGATGTGCCTTCAGTTGGCGGCGGAGCAGTTGGTCTTCCAGCGCAGTCTACTTTGTCAGGCCAATCGCAAACCTTTAAACAAAATACAAGTTAGTAAAGTTTTGCAATGTTAGTTGTGACAACCACACCAATCGGATGCCACGTTAATCGGGTACCACCGACTAGCTACCTGACTGTTAGTCTATTAATATAAACTTATTTTGATGATTATAGACACTAAAAGTAAACTCCAATGCCCTTATTACCTTATCTGAAGGCTAGAAATCGAATAAGGTCTAAATTTGAATAATGGATAACCTCAGTGGACCAGCTGCTATATTCCGCGTGCTATATGAGTAGTTTCTGGTTCGATTTTTGGTAGAATAAATTTTAGAAACGAATTTTTAAAGTTTATTCCGCCATAGATCTTCTGTATAGAGCCACCAAAATTATTTTTCATGAGTTGTATTTCATAATTCCTATAATTTATCGAGAAATTCGGAATTTGAATGTACACATTACTATGAGCAATTTTAACTAGTGTCATCCCCCTCAAAGCGTTTCCTGAAGAAAACATCAGTTATCGCATAAATTTTAGTCGAGAAGATTTAAACAAAAAAGAAGGTATTTATTTAACGATCGCTGCAGATTTGTAAATTTGCCTCATAAAATATCGTGTAAAAGTAATTTGTTAAATATCCCACAATAATATAACACCATACCAAATTATCAAACCATAACCGTAGTAGGGTAATTTTTAGGTTACTTTTTTCTGCTTAATTTCGGTGGCAATTTCTATTACTATTTATAAATATAAATATTATTTAATATTTCACGATTACAAACTCGAGTACTTAAATAATAAAACTTGCCACCGAAATTAGATAATGAAAAGTAACCTGAAAATTACTCAATACGTAAAAAAAGTTACTCACGGGTCCAGGGTCGGCATCAGGGTTGAAATAAGTACCAGGGGCACAATACCTTTCTACCTTCTCTCCAAACACGCAATAATAGAACATATTGCAGTAAGTTTCATGCGGCAACAATTGATGCACACTAAAATTAGCCGGGCATCCGTTAGGTAGTATTTCTGGTGTGGTGCTTTCCGTTGTTGTGCTCTCCGTTGTTGGGCTCTCCGTTGTTGGGCTCTCCGTTGTTGTGCCTTCAGTTGATGTGCTGTCAGTTGGAGGCGTTCTGTCGCCGCAGTCTACGTGTTCTGGCCAATCGCAAGTCTTGAAATAAAATACAAGTTAGTGAACTGTTACAATGAAAATTTTCATTCATCAAGTAAAACCACCTAAGTATCCAGTATTAGGTTTATTGACAATTGTGACAAGTGCCACGTTAATCATAATCATCATTTCGTTCCACGCATTAAAATGAGAAGTTTCGTATTGTATTTCTAGTAGGTCAATTACTTTAAAAAACGAACTTTACGTTAAATCGCGCCGATTTAAACACCAGACTTATTTCCGAAACTCCGACCCGCCCGCAACTTCGTTTCAGGGGGTTATTCATATTGTTCAGAAGTTGACGAGAACTCAGTTGTCGACCGGTTTCTTTTCATTTCGTCAAACTGTCGTATTCGAAACCGCACCGAAACGACGTCACACCCGTACGATTACTCGACTTCTCGACCAACAAAGGCTACGAACGTTATTCAGAACACAGTTACCGAAAGAAAGTTCCCGAACGTCCTATTGTTTACAAAGCAATAATGTAATATGGAAAACTCTTATTTTTTAAATAAAGTCTGGATTTGTGTTCAATTTTATTAATTTATTATAAAGCAAGACTAATGCATTCATAAATTTTAGGCCTTTAAAGTCTTAAACATATATGTAATAGGATTTTCATTTTTCTTACAATCTATTTCACCGGGCAACTAAAAATCTGAATCATTTTTAGTTTAACTCGGAATGTTCTGAATAGCTCGGAAAGCGCCCTTCGGTTCGAGAACGATATGCAATCGAACGATTCGGTTAAAACATCAAAGAGTTCTGATCCGGGGTCCAGACCAGACAATTGGTAAATATAATAATGTACTAGATAACCACGCCAATTGCTTGGTCTCAGACTAGGAAGTAGCAACTATTTGTAGAAGTAGGGCTCCTTGTGATGGAGTTCCTATTTCTGCTGCTAAGCAGTAATGTGAGCATTACTGCGTTCCGGTCTCGAAGGGACTTGTCAACTTATGCCCAGGGTGACGGACACAGTGCAGTGCAAATAAAACTTTGAGTTGCACTACAACTATTAAAGACAGGCGTGACACTTTCCACCAGGCGGCCAGATATTAATTCTCTTACTAAACAGCCAAAAAGACCAGAGTTTAGAATGAAAGTGACCAACACATTCAATTTGGTTCCGCCCTCACCGTTCCTCCTTCGGTCGACTAGAAGGTCCGGAGCACTCCATTCTTATGTCGTTGATATTCCACCTATTCGCACTAAGTGCTTTGCTGCGCTAGGAGGAACTTTCTGATGCGTACGGCAAAGGAATGGAATGCTCTACGGCATCTGTATTTCCCGAAAAGTACAATTTGGGGCTATTCAAGGCTAGAGTGAATAGGCATTTTTTAGGCAAACGCGTCCCATCGTCGGTCACATCGTCGCTTAACATCAGGTGAGATTGTGGTCAAGCGTGTGTCTATTATATATAAAAAAATTTTTTGAGAATACGCAAAAAGAATTGGAGTTCTGCCTTGTTAGTGTTGGAAAATTGTTTCTGATTACTTTAGTAATAATAAAAAACCATTTCTTTCAGACATACATTCATTCATAATGTTTGTTAGTAGAGTATTTAAGCTAATGTTAGGTTGAACATAATTCGACTCATCCGTAGAACAAAGACCTATGTGCAAGACTACTTGTTCTCAGGACCATAGTACATTTCGTTCGTTCTTCTTCGCTGTGGATGTCAGACCGACCGTTGTTCGATTTTATATTTCCGAAGCGAAATAAGATATATAAATTCTCAAAGCACCTTTACATGAACCTTAGTTTGAATAACGAAATTATTCTCGTAACGTACTTACCCTCTTTTCGCTATATAATCACATCGGTCTCTGTTCTTCGGATGAGTCCAATTATATAACAAAATTATTCGTAGGTATTTAGGATGAAAGCACTTTAAAGTAACGGTAAGAATTTACTTTCTTTTTAATTACCGTCAAAGGATAACTAAAGTTGTCTATCGTTACGTTAAATACTAATTTATTATAACACTTTTGCATTTATCAGTCATGTCTACTTCGGACAAACCGTCCAAATATACATGGTATATAGTATGTCAGTACTTCAAGCACTGAACAGCTATGACATAAACTCAGGGCTCATTTACGAATGCCATCAAGCACTCTTGGAGGTATGTATACAAAACCATGGATTATAACTCTACAATGGATTAAAGGACACAGCGGCTCACGTGGCAATGACGCAGCAGATGAACTAGCCAGAAAAGGGTCGGAGACGGACACTGTAGGACCAGAAGCCATAGTGTCCCTCCCCCACCAATGGTCCAAAACAACTATACACAAAGGTACAAAATCTTCATATAATAATACATGGACCACCTTTACGGTTTGTAGACAGGCGAGGGAAGCACTCCCAACGCTCAATCGTCTATCTCGAATATTTATTAAACTCAAAAGGCAAGAGCTTCGCACTCTAACTGCCGCCCTAACGGGTCATGGTCCATACAATAAACACCTTTTCAATTTAGGTATCACTGACAGCCCTCTATGCAGAGCGTGCATGGAGGGAGAGGAAACGGCTGCGCACATCCTACTACAGTGCTCCGGCGTGGCCAACTACAGGGCAAAGTACCTTGGAGTGCCAAGGTCGCTCCCCGAAGTCTTCAGCAAACCGAGGAGGCTGCTGAGATTCCTGGAGGAGCTTGAGTGGCACGAGTAGGACCCTGCACCCACACCACCAGTTACACCAAGTACCAAGTACCAAGCCGTCCAATTAGATAGAGCCAACGTCGGAGAAAAGGTCAATCGTCGAATCCGCCTCGGTTGAGCAGATTTCGGAAAAGTCCGGGACGCCTTCTCGTCCGCAATACAGTGCGTGTTGCCAGCGATGACGGATACGGATCTGAGACGTGGTGACTTACTAATAAAATAGCTCAAAAGTCGCTCAACGAGCTATGGAGCGCGTAATGCTCGGCATTTCTCTACGTGATCGAATCAGAAATGAGGGGATCCGTAGAAGAACGAAAGTCACCGACATGCATCAAAGGATTAACAAGTTAAAGTGGCAGTGGGCGTGTGGTATGGATTGATTAACAAATGACGAAATCACTTTGCAGCTTGAGTACGATCGTGTCTTTTGTGATTACGCATTGTTCCACGTTTCGTTCACATTTATCTATTGAGTCAACCGTGACCATGGGACCTGTAAAGGGCCCGAAACGTCGGTTTGTTTGAAAAAACAAATATACGCGATTTAAATCCGGAAAAATAGTTTCATTTCCTATGTGTAACAATCGCGAAAACCTAAGAACTCGATATGAGTTTTAATTACTTTCAAAGTTTTCGCTCTTGTTTTCATATGCCGAAAACACTTGATATATATGATAATTCCGTTTATCAAAATTATATATTATTGTTCTGTATGAACAAGACTTAGACATTCCTTACACCTATTCAGAGGTTAAATAATATTTTATTTTTAATGTGACTCGAACCATGCTTGCCTTAACTTGCAAAGCAATCCTTATACCGCTTGGCCACGACGACGGCCTTACTAACGCTGGTTGAAATTTGTATTCTATATTTAAGTAAGAACTATACCTTAAAGACCAAAATAGCTTACAAACTTTCGTACAATGTCATTCACAAGTAAGACGAATAAGAAATAAGAAAGGAATTTTACGGCTCACAGGTTAACGACTTCTCCAAATTTTTGTGCTCAGAGCCAAAAGGTCGGCAAAGTCGGCTTGTAGGGGTCAGGTATCTTATATATATGACTGTACCTATTACTTAGACAAGGCAGTCTATTCTAAGAGTGATTACACACATTACATTTTAGCAGCGATACAAACGCGCGGTAGCATTGCTGCTCAAAAGCGCGCGTATGTGTAAAGGTAAGCGATTAGCGACCACATAGACGTGCGAATTAAATAAACAAAAAATCACTCACGGGTCCAGGGAGCGCTTTAGGGTTGAAATAAGTACCACGGTCACAGGTTCTTTCGACCAACTCGCCGAAATTACAATAGTAGAACTTGTTGCATTCAGTTTCGTGAGGGAGAAGCCAGTGGACCCCGAAGTCTGTAGGACAGCCATTAGGAAGGAACGGGCCTTCGTAGACAGCATCTCCACTGAATATGTCGAATACCTGCGGCCAGGCTGTGATGGTCCCCGCCAGCAGAAGAACAAGAACTATTTTTCCTTAAAAAAATATCAACATTCAGTTTCTGGATGTCTTACACCGATTTCTGAAATCGTAATTGCACAACAGCATTCACATACGTTAGTCTGATCCCAAAGTAAGTAACTAAAGCACTTGGAAAGTTATGGAAATCGGAAACAACGACGGTATGTTGTAAACCTTCTTAGACGCGCAGGCTTCATCACGATGTTTTTCTTAATTCAGAGGTATAGTCCGTTCCAGTCCATTTTTAACAAAAGGTAAACAAAACTGTTTGGTATTGCACGTGTTATGTATCCAGATTTGCATAACACACATACCTAAAACGTCAGTTCAATGCACTTGCATTCGCGCACCCCGGAACGCGCGCCCCGTGCATTGCAACGTGACCGATGCAAAACTCGTCATTTTAATTATAATTATGAGACACTTTTCGGCCCAACGTTCCTAACATCGGATGTAGACTAAATTCCTTTAGTTAAGATCTTTTTCCGTATAAGTACTTTTAGACCTAACGTACCTAACTTCGGGTGTTCTTAAAATTATTTAGTTTAAGAAATACCTTTGTGGAAATTTAATATAGTCATTCATAATATTTTCTCGTCTTTACTTCATCTCCACTGCGGCCACCCTATATAATTCACGTATATTGCACTTGCACGTATATTTCGAAGATTTCGACTTGATGTCTCATCACGTTTTCCAATGATATTTATTTGAATAGCGTCGTAAAATCGTATTTGAAAAATGGTAGTCCAAAAGTGAGGTTATTTTTCACCTATACTTCTATGACTTGCCTATGGTTGCATAGTGCTGTTCGAAAAAAAAACATTCGGTTCAATCAATCAAAGTTTATTAAATTGAATATTTCTATCACAATCGAACGAGTATCTAAGTGTAAGGATTTGAAGGAGGATTTAAATTGAAATTTTAAATATGCTTATATAGGTTATGTAAGGAAAACCGCTAATATGACTCAATTGAACAAATCGATTCGTTCAATTAATTAATCGAGAGTTGGCATTACAATTGGTTATCACTAAACCGTCTATAGTCGGGTCAGTGACTTGTTTTGTTTACTTTTTGCTTAAAATGGATTGAAACGAAGGATACGAGTCTGGATTCTAAGACACGGCCTCTGCATGAGACGCGATAGGCTTCCACAGAGGTAATAACATAACAAACAGACAAAAGAATTACGTAAGTAAATTAATATACTATATAATAATATAGTAAATGTTTCGCATTAATAAATAAATAATTAACACACACATTCACAGCCCCTGATATAATACTGGAAACCCTGTATCGCGGGTGCCATAGACAACCAGAAACTACAACCACACTTTATTATTAATTAATAACTCAAATAATCGAACATTAGTATTAATTAAGTACGCACCAATCATGATGGCGATAAAAAACGCCTTGAATCCGACTCTTACAAGTTTTACTCAACTGGCTTCTGTGCTCTGTGAGTAGAACTAAACTGTCCATATACACTTAAAACAATGTCCTTTATATAGAATCAGGAAGTAAAGCTTGGATTAGCATTTGATAATTCCTTTTTACAATATAAGATAACTGGAAAGAACAATTAATACGTAGGGTCGTTTAAATCCGCGAGAATTAATTAGGATTATTTGGATAGTTATATAACTGTAAAATGAAATGCGATATGATAACTGATAATCGTAAATGATATTATAATTAGCAGTGGAGCTCTTCGAGAAAGTATTCGTCCACTAAAGTACTCCATCTTACCTTTTTCAGCCGTCAAATATCATGCGACCATACTGCGTTCCGTTTTTGAAGGGTAAAATCAGTCATTCACGTTAGGACTCAATGTACTATAGTTAGGAACATAAAGGTATTACTTTCGAGTAATAAAGCATTTATGTGGCTCTAAATTTAAATAAAAACAAAAACTTTGAACACGCGGTCTTTTTCCTATCAAGTTCAAGTTTTACTTAATTGGCTTCTGTGCTCTATAAGTAGAACTAAAGTGCCCGGAGGCACTTATAACAACGTCCTTTATATAAAATCGAATGCCACCACAGAATGGATCCCCAACAATAGAAAATAACCATGCGGCAGGCCAAAGCGCCGATGGAGAGACGAGCTACACGCGCTCCTAAAGGACTGGACCTCAGTGGCGCAAAACAAAGAGGTGTAGAGAGAGGGGAAGGAGGCCTTTGCTCAGCAGTGGGATAGTATAGGCTCATAATAATAATAATAATTAAGAATAAACGATCAAAAATCGGAATGGGTTCACTTGACCCACATTACACCTACCTGTGCGCACCCTTGTGGGGTAAGTAGACGCACATGGGGTATATGAGTGTATTGCTTGCTCATGGTCAAGATGAATATAATAATAATAAAAAATATTATTTATTAAAACACCTAAATCCATATGTTTCTAAAATATAAAAAATTGTGAAATATGAAAAATGGAAAAAAAATGTAAATTTAAAATGAAATTAAATTAAATTTAAAATACAATGAATAGTCACTACTTTAATCGGGGCTGGTAGCTGTAAAGGTATCTAACTGGGTGACGAAATAACATAGATTTCTTATAGACGGCGCTACGGCTAAAAAGTCGTTGGAAAACCAAATACAAAGATACGACGCAAGCACATTGAAAAATTCGTGAGGTCCGCTGGTTTGTTCCGTGGCTTAGTTGGTATAGCATCTGGCACGGTATGCTAGAAGACATTCGAATCCAGCAGGATCGAAGGATTTTTTCTGAGTGTTCGATCTTTGTATTAATAATTATAACAAACTAGTGGAGTAATTACACATAAAACAATTAAATATCAATTCAATAAAAATTAAAAAAAAGTAATTAATTAACTTAGAAATTGGTGTAAGTTCGCGTTTTTCGTTAATTAATTCATCGACATGACAGTTAGGCAAAGAAATATGAAATAAAAGCATGTTAAAAATATTGTACAAATGAATGGACGAAAATAACTTGCTAACGAAGCTATGGTGTGAGCATGTTCTGTAAATCGCTAGTGAAGTTATTTCTCTAGCTAGAGATATTTGTCTAAATATTTGGGATAAAGGCTAAGAGGAAATTTCACTAGCAAGAGGCATGGTATAGGATAGTACAACCGCGACTTCCTCGAAAGCCTTGGTTTGAAGGTCTCTAGGGAATCTCTTGTTTCAGCATTTAGAATCTGATCAAGGGGTCGATTCTGAACCTTGCGATAACTAAATTGTTGATCGATTCGATGTGATATCATACGATTTCTATTTATTTTTATTCACAATAACCGAAAAGAACGTCAAACCGGAATTATGATTATAAATATTTACAAAAAAACCCTGAATGTTTTTGAATAAGTGTATGTACCTACACAAATGACGCAATTGTTTCGTCATTATCTTGGGATTACAAAATGATGATTTATTGGGTTGAAAATTACTTTTTTGGGATTATAAGTAGCTACCTAAACAATCGTAAACATGAAAATAACAAAAAAATATCGTGTTTTAAATTTTCGGGATTGTTGCACATTATCTATGTCACAGCTTTTAAAGATAAAAAAATCAAGTATGAGCTTTGGTAGAATAAAACTAATAATCATACCGGTTTATGTGTACGGTCAAATCAAAACATGGTTTTTGTTACTCAGTTAGCACCCTGGATTTAAATATTTCTTTTTGTACCTATTTCTTAGGAAATGAAATTATTTTTTCCGGATTTAAATCGCGTATATTTGTTTTTTCAAACAAACCGACGTTTCGGGCCCTTTACAGGTCCCATGGTCATGGTTGACACGGTTGACACGGTTGACGATTTAAATCCGGAAAAATAGTTTCATTTCCTATGTGTAACAATCGCGAAAACCTAAGAACTCGATATTATAATTAATTGTTTTTAACCGACTTTAAAAAAGGAGGAGGTTCTCAATTCGGCTGTATGTTTTTTTGTATGTTTGTTACGCGATAACTTCAGCATTTGTGAACCGATTTTGATGATTATGTTTTTATTGGAAAGAGGGTACCTCAGTAGTGTCCCATTTAAATTAGAAGAAAATATTCCACCTCTATGGGTGGCAAACTAGGTGATGAATGACTTGAGAGGTCGGGTTTTTTAGTACTCTATACTGAGATTACTGATAGTTTGTTCCACCTCAGGAATAATTGTTGTGAATTATTACTATAATTTCCCAACAACAACAAGCACAACAGCGAAAGTTTTGTATTTTACAAGTAAATTTAAGAACAAACAATCAGAACCACCGAAAAAATATTTAAGTGCGAAAACTATGATAATGTCGGTTGACACGTTTTTGTTTATCAGCATCCCAAACAGCCTTACTGTACATACAATATGGGTATCTGCTTGAAGGTACTCGGTCCATTTTATTGAACTTGTCTAAATGATTGGTAAAACTGGCACTTTCATCAGAAATCTCGGTCTCGAAAACTTCCGAGTCTCAACAATTTTTAACTCGATAGTGATGAAAAAAAATGTACTAAACCAACAATCATTTTTTATCCTGGTTATATGGACATGGCAATACTGTAGAGGAGAGCTTAATATAATCTATGGAAATTTGAAGAACGGTAGTAACAAAATGAGTTCCTCTGTTTTGAACAGTATTAAAAGCCTTTCAAATAGAAAATTATCGCGAGACTCGGACATATCAACTACACTAACGGATACATGGACAGATGGTATTTTATGTTTCGAACCAGTCCTTGGTCCACCGCGAAATCTAATGATTAAATACTATAAAAATAAAAAATAATAAAAATAAAATTAAACATAAATGACACACATTTTACTGTATGACGATGGGAAATAAACGATAATGTATTATTTATTATAATATTACTGTTATTCTTTCACTACCCGTCTCTTCCTACTCTCCTCACAAATAATGACTGCATTTATCGCAGTTTTCCCCACCGGGGGTGCACGGGGTTGAGACGAGTGTGGTGCGGGGTGTGTATTACAAATCTATTACATTCTACAGCCATGCTCTAATTGTTCGGGGAGTGGTTGCTCTGGACGGCAGCATGCGAGATCGAGATGGTTTTCTAAATTGGAAATGAATTTATAAAAAAATACAAAAAATTTTTCAGATCTCAAATTGTGTATATTTGTTTCTTTTTAATAAAAAAAAACTTTTTGTGCTCTTTACAGGTTCTATCCTCACGGCTGACTGACAAAAAATAGGTTCATAATGAATTCGACAACAGATAACTCGCAATTTAATTCTAATTCGGTTATACTTTTTGCAATCAGTTCCAACTTTATGGTTAGGAAATAAGTAGTTTTTTCTTTTCTTTTATATATAATTAAGTTTGTTTGATAGTTGAATGGTGTTTGCATCATAACATAATATTATCAATTCATTATAAATAAATTATAAATAAATTAACAATAGGTGTAGATATAGTTAAGCATCACACATTTTGTCGCATCATAAATTAATTGTACGCATATTGCGAATTTAAGTAAGTCAATGTTTTTGTAGTATTAGTTTAGTGCGCCTGTGACGCACTCCCTGGGCTCCGCATAATACCAGCGACGTGGCTGTTCTCAGCCACGTCACATGCTGAGCGGTGCCCATTCAGTATCAGTAATTTTAGTTTTAATTTATTTTTATGTACATACAATTTAAGGGTACTGAATAAATGTTTCTTTCTTTCTTTCTTTCTTTCAATTTTAACTATATTTTTAAACGAGTTCAAAAAAATAGTAGGTTCTCAATTAAAGTCGTATTTTTTTAGTGTGTTACGCGTTTACTCCGTAGCCAAAGTCAAATAATCATAATGTTTCGTACGTAATATTTTTACACTTGGGAACGTCATTTTTTAAGCTGCGCTGACCTCCCACATGCGAACCGATTTTAATGATTCTTATTCTTAGGAAATGAAACTATTTTTCCGGATTTAAATCGCGTATATTTGTTTTTTCAAACAAACCGACGTTTCGGGCCCTTTACAGGTCCCATGGTCACGGTTGACTGAGGTGGTACAGTCTTCAACCAGTTATGTCTAATATTAATAATATATAAATAATAAATATTAATAATAAATTAAACTTAATAAAAATTCATTCAATAAAATAATTTGTAAAACTTAATGTAGCGTAAATTGGAATGTTTTCTTTGTAAAATTAAAAATAAGGTATTTAATTAATAACTATTGTAACTATAGTGAAAAAATAGGGTGGTTTGCATTAATATTAGACATGACTGGTTGAAGACTGTACCACCTCAGTCAACTGTGACAATGGGACCTGTAAAGGGCCCGAAACGTCGGTTTGTTTGAAAAAACAAATATACGCGATTTAAATCCGGAAAAATAGTTTCATTTCCAATGTGTACCTAACAATCGCGAAAACCTAAGAACTCGATTCTTATTCTGTTGAAAAGAGGGTACCTCAATATTGGCG